GGGAAAAAAAAACGTCAGGTGAACTTTTTTGTTTGCTTAATTTGCAGGTACATGGTTATTTTTAACTACTGTACTACTCACACATCTATTTATTTATTTCTTACCTGAGTGTTATTATGGTCAAATGCTGGGAAGGTCTCTAATGCAGGGAAAATTACTGCACTTCCTACAATGATTATATAAAGATGCACTTCCAGCATTTGACATAAAGGTACAAAAAGACAGAAAGGTTCCCAGCACAAACAGGCATCTATGTATTATCCATCTTTAATGCAACGGATGAAATTTGCCTTGCCTTGCTTCAATTCACATCTTTATTCAGACATCTTCTCCAGGATATATTACTGTCAGGGTTGTGGGTTTTTCTTAAATATCTAGAAAACAGTAAGCACTCCAGCTTCTGGATGCTCACACATGCAAGCTGTGTTATGTTTTCAGTGTGACTGAACTACTCACTGGAATAAAATTTACGGGACGTATATTTTAAAGAGTACATTCAGGCGACACCGATCCACCAGGTAGTAAAGAATTCACTCTATAATAACATGTTTTCTTCTTACAGAACAGAATGAAAGCATCAGATCTGAAACAATCCTAAATCTAGTAGTCTTCACAGGTTATTTAAATAAAAAATAATAATAAAAATCCCACAAACAAAAACAAAACACACATACTAAAAAAAAAAAAGACAGAAAACCCACACACAAACCAAGACATTTACATAATATACTGTTGGAATATGCTATATATTGCTATATATTGCTGAAGCACACACCCCCAGGCTGGGTTGGGTTTGTTGGGTTTTTTTCAGAGCTCTATTAATTAAAAACAATGATTTGTTTTCTCTTTTGTAAAATGTAAAAAGCATAGAGTTTGTCTTTAAAATATAGTTGTCAAATATCAGGGGGTATATATATGCTAACATTTACCCTAGGGGTATTTCAGGGCTAGAGTCTGTTACAAATAAAATCTTCATTCATATGAACAGCTACCTGGGGGGCAATACTGATTGTTACACATAATATTCTCATATATATATATTTAAAATAATCTAGCAGTGCTATTAAAACAAACTGGAAGCTACACTGTATTTAGTCTCTCTGCTTTGCTGATATGTCTCATAGTACTAACTTTTTTGAGTTTGAATTACTTACTGTAGAGTACAGCCCCTAAAATATAAAATACTTTCATCTAGTGTGTCATAACTGATCTATTATTTGAAATGTTAGAGGTTGTTCATAGTAATAAAGAATTACAGAAAAAAAAAAAGCAACCGTTTCCCCCATTAAATTTTGCAATGCTATTTTCAAATTTGAGAAGTTCCATTGAATTAAGAAGAAAAAAAAAAAGGGGGGGTAAAAAAAATATTTTTTGTTACATGTTTTCTGGAATTACTGAACACTCACTGTGTGCTTCGGAAAACAACTTTAGACACGATCAGACATCTATATTTATCAAAAATTTTAAGCTGTCTGAAGCAAACTGGGAGACAAAGCAGACAATGCAGCAGCTCTGCAGACTGCCAGCAGCCTGAGGAGGTCACATCTCCCTCCTGGACCTTCCTAATTTACTGAATGAAAATGATAATATTCCATTAACTGCTAGCAAAACTGCATGATTGTTGAAAAACTTATTTAGAGAAAGCACTGTAATTCTGCCCTTTTTCAGCACATTCCAAACACTGATTTGGCAACTGCCACCCCCAAGGATGAAAATCCTTGGACTAATACAATATCCAGACAGAAACCTCCTTTCCAATTAAGGAAAAATCATGTGAGTCTCTGCATAGCAATTAAGAAAGCGCTCAAAAATGCTCAGCTCTGTGACTGCTGTACCTCAATATATTACACCATTTCAAGTTTACTAGACAAGTAAGCTGCCTTTAAAAACTCTCCCTATGGCCTTCCAAGTTGGAGGACTTGCTGCATGCCTGATCTTCCCCATTCATCAGGGCTCCTGTCCTTCTTTGAGGAGATGAATAAAGACGTAAGCTGGTTTAACAACAGACTGCACAATGAATACATGAAAACGGAAATTCAACAATTTTACAGAGAAACACACAGCACAGCCTTTGTGATGGGGAACTCATACAAATCTATGCAGCACCGCAGATAAAATACTAAGTGTCTGATGCCTTCCATAATTGTTACATGTATTCCCCTTAAAGGGCGAGGACATTTCCCTGAGACAATTCTGGATAGATCCCCATATTCTTGCATGGGAACATCATCTTATTGCACACCAAAATATCAGCCACACGGTTCACAAAAGTAACATCAGATGCACTGTTCGTTACTAATTCAGCTTTAATTCTTGTTCAAGAGAGTACATGTCTATTCTCCAATAAAAATATTTGCAAGTTCCTCACATAAACTCCGTAGTCACTGCAGAGTACCTGAATTTAATATCTATGATCCTGCCTTCATACTCTGCTTCAAAAGCACTATTTAAGACTGTCCCTTAACTCACTGATCATCATCTGACAACTAAACAAACCTGTTTCTTTCCCATTACCAGTTTATATGTATAAAAGAACAGATCTTTTAAGACTTATATATACTACTGCTGTACAGATGTATAGCAGTATCAGACTTACTAGCATCAATATTACTTCTCTACATACCAGCATTTTGAAATAAAGTACTGTTTGAAAATAAAAATTTAGTAATGCAGCTCTGTTACCAAGTGTTTGCCCTCAAAATATTTGTGTCCTTTCTGTATTATTAAATGCACAAACAGAAACAAGCTATTTATGAAACGTCCCATTTATGAAAATCACATGTAAAAGAAAATTTTTATCCTACAAATAATGTAAATATTATAAATAATGCATATTTGATATTTCCCACGACCTCACAAGAAGGCTGAAATATTTAAATGCATTATTCAGAACACACTCCTACCAGTTAACAACGATTTTGTCTTAGCAAACTACTACCTGGGAAGCACATCTTCAGTGGTTACTAGCAAGCTAGAAATAAAAGAATCAATGTTAATTTTAATCAATATTGTTTCTAATAGGAGATAGTAGTCAGTCTTACAAGGCTGCAGTCTGCTGCACTTTAATAAAATACTGGAAACATTCAATTACAAAACAAACATTAAAAATGTGCAAGTAAAGTAGAAGGTACCTCTAATCAGTTTTCCTCTTATCAGCCATATCAGCCCTTGTTCCTAAAATTTTATCCTGCCTGTGAGCACAAGGTACATACTCTTTTTTAGACATCGCATCTTAGTCAACTTTGACTATTTGATTCTGTCTGATCAAACCCTAAACAGCAACAGCAAAGAAAAAGCTTTCCTCTCTTTAAGATGCTCTATTGGTTAGATCAGATTTACTTGCTGTCAGTAAAGGTTATATTTGCACATAAGTCTATGACAGATTGCAAGTTTATTAACTTCAAATGAGTTTCCAGGCTGCTGGGTTGAGGTATTTTTGCTGGATTTTGGGGGTTTTTCGTGGGTTCTTGATTGTTTTTTTTTTGTCATCATTCCTTCCCCCTTCCCCCAAGATGTGGGTTAATTGACAAACTGGAGTTAAGTTATCTTAGGTCAATGTAACTATAAGTTAAACTAATGAAGTGTATGTCTATGAGAGATGTCTGATTACTTTAATACAGTTAGTGCTGGACAGCTTGGGCTGCTGACCTTGAAGGAACACAGATAACATTGTGATGCGTTGGAGGATGTGGTTGCGATACAAGACAAATTTACATAACAGTTTGTCATATACACTCCTCCAAAACAAAACTGTTGCAAAAGGAAAGCAACAGGAAACCAACGCTGAATGCCTCACAGAAGACAAAGCAGGGAAAATTAAATATAACATTTCGCTTGGGAGGGTAGCTTATTTTAAATGCAAGCCAGAAACAGGAACAGAAAAGGTGCACATTTATATAGTATGCATTCCAAACTGGATTAGACATTATGTTGGGTCACAATGTTCAAATGAAGCCCTCTACAGCACAAGATCTACTCTTGAAAAATCATATTCCTCTCCAGCCAACTATGCCTGCTTGCTCCTGGTAACAAATACCAGACCCAGTTCTGACTTGCAACTAGTTAGCACAGCATTGAGGTGTGCTCAGGGTCCTGCTGAAGTTTCATTCTGTTGCTGAAAAGCAGCTGCTTGTGCTAAAACAGCTCTGTGAAGGAATTGGCTCTCTCCATGAAAGTGCACAGTCAACGAAGTGCTCGTTTACCGTGCATGCTGTGATGCTCTGCTGCATGCCCTGAGTGGAGCACACGCTGCACCACACGATATGTCACTGCTCAAGACAATCATCTTACCACATCTCAAATGATGAGGCAGGACAAGTAAAATTGCTGGGTTTAAAGACAGCTTGGTTCTGGAGTGACTGATTCTCACTGCATGATTGCTATCTCTTGACCTAAATAGTCTGTTTTTATCAGTCCAGGTTCTAGCTGATAGAAATTTGCCACTTACATACATGCATAATTGACATCCACAGTTGCTGGAATATTATAGAACCATACCATCATTAAGATAAACCTGCTCCCTTAATCCTCCAGGTCAGCCTGAGTGATACACACTGAAATCAGACTGCTAATAGATCGGAGGGCAAGTGAGAAAGCATGCAGTGTTCACATCCATGCCACCTTTCAACCAAATCTGTGAAGCAGAGTTTAAATCTTTCAGTATTCACAGTTTAAAACTTTCAGTTTTACTGAATTCACTTGATAATTTTAAAATAAGATGTACACGTATACACAAAAAGGTATCAATGCACTTTGACTTAGAGACTCTGAAGGGCTACCAATGCATTACAGAATGGTCTAAGAAACTTTAAAAAACGGCAGTAATTTCCCAATTATACCCCAAGAAAAAAATGCAAGAACAAAACCTTGTGTTGTCCACTTCAAGTCACCATTTGCTTGCACATATTCACCTGCATGCACACAACTGAAGATTCAACCCAAAAGAGTTGGCTGAAGGCCTCTCTAATTTGAGTTTAGAAAATATCAAATTCCTGGGTTACCTGTAATTAGGACTTATTGGCACGGTTTGCATGAAATAGAGAGCAGCAGTTCGTGCTCTCCAGTGCCACTTCTTGGCAGGGAGTGTACAGAGGACACAGTCTTCTTGTAGCTCCTCCTGGAGAAGATCCATCAGCTGTTTGTGGGAACCACCATAAAAGGCTTCAATTAGAAGAACACACATTTTCTAAGTGCTTCCAAACCGTCTGGATTCTGAAAATTACAATAGAGAAATATTTTTTTTTTAACTAAAAGATTTATATTGAAAAGAAAAAAAACAGAAATATACTGCAAGGCCTTACAGTGTCTTCATTTTTGATGTAAAATTGATTCTTCATATTAATAAGTTTGCTTCAGAAAAAGCTACCTAGAAACCATGATGACAAAACCATCACACCTATTAGTTTCAGCCACTGAAGGATACCATTTGTAATTTTCAAATAAATTGTGCAGGACTTAAAAAAAATACTGTGTTTTGAATTTATTGTTGGTTTCAATCATGATACTTAAAAGCAGCTTTACTTTACACACTCACTCTCAAATACATACAATTCTTTCATATGTTAGGAAGTAGTTTATTCATTTTTACATAGGTTTCCCCCCCTCTTCCTGGTGCTAGATAAAACTATAGAACAATTCAAACACACTCCAGCCCCAGTAGTAGATAATAATGGTAATCTGGGTGAGCTGAAGGCAGAGACCTAGATGGGGAGACGCAGTCTGAGCATCCCCCCAGGACCGTCTCCTGCACTGCTGGGATCTGGGATCACTGCCCAAGCTACGTATTAGGAACTACAGGACATGTAAACCATGTGGGTTATTTTTTTTAATACTCCAAAATGGCTGGAAGACAACACTGTCGCAGGCTTAAGGAAGCTCTCAGATGAGAAACCACAGAGCTGCTCACAAACAGGATGCAAAAAATGCTCCCCAAAGTAAAGGGAAAGATGAAAACCCTGTGACTATTGCTCATCTCTTTCATGAGTCACAAACTTGGGGTACTGAAAAGCTGCTTTTCATATGCTTTGAACAAAACCATCACATACAATAGTTGAAAACAAAACCCTGACAGGTATTCACCATCCACGACTACCTCACTGCTGACTTTGTTTTCAACATAACCCAACAAGGCAGGACTCTCCATTAATGTTATTTGTTCTGTCTCAGTGTCAAGTTCAGGTTAAAATACAGATGCTCTAATCAGAGGGTAGAAAACAGCCAAAACAAAAAAACCTTACAAGTGCACAGTAGCTATCAAAATATCAACTAGTCAACACTGAATAAATCTAATGGGGAGACAAAATGTAAGAAAGCTCTAGACAGCTTTCAGTCATTGGCCCATCATGGTGCCATGTAAAAAGGTGATGCAGATCTCCCTTACAAATCAATCAGCAAAGTATTCTGTGCTCTTACTTTCATGCCATAACCCAGCCAGGATTTAGGTTATAATTTGCTCTATTATTCACTCCCCCAAACTGTTTCAAATAAATTATATTTGAAAGGAACATATTTGTCAAAGAAAAGAAAACCGATAGCCTTCTGGAAGCAGACACTTCAGTTTGGAGCTTGCTTCTTTTCAGGTAGCAAAGCAGATTCGGATCTCTCTTACACTGACCTAATTTCAAAAATCACACTTTTGAGATCACTGACGTTTTCTGAATTTACAATGATGTAGCCGAAATCATACTCTCTGCTCCAAGGCCCTTTTGGAGCCTGCACGGTAATAACTGTTATAAAAACACAAGCTGTGTTTTAGAACCTGCACTATTCACCTAAAGAACAATTTGTAATTAATCATGCTACACTTGTCATCAAATGTCACTGAAAATTTAACTTAAAGGACTAGAGGGAAGCATTTTGCAAATTCAGACCCTGAAAAAGAGGTATGTGAAAAGCTGGTAAATGCCACTGAGTCAGTCACTCACAGAGAGAATGAGTTGCAGTTAATTTTCAAATCATCAGCGCTATCAGTAATAAAGTAATTCATTCATGAAATATCTATCAAATTGCATTTCATCAGGCTAGTTCTGAAACCAGCTTTATTGCTAGGTTTAGCTGAATCAACAATGTGCTCTTCGGTTTTATTTTGCAGCATTTTTCAGTGCACATCCCTTATGGGGACAGAGAATAACTCTTAGTCCTGACGGTAAGAGATTTTTTCCAGTTCTCAGGTTTCCTTCTTGCTTAAAGATCCTGACATTTAGGTGACTCTGCATTTATCCTACCTGTAGCTCTATTAATAAAAAAGTATTATGCAAATATTACACAAATATTACCGTACAATAAACTCCCTTTGGCTATTTACATTGGGCAACTGGGTTGAAATTATGGATGCACCATGGAGCAGGTCTTAGATCACTCTTGCTATGTAGTTGTTTACAGTAACAACTCATAGACCCCACAGCAGCAGCAAATGAGGGTGAAAATCATCAGTGATGTATTTTTAAGAGATGATCTGAAGCTCAAAGGCTTTCTTACAAAAACTCTCATTCCCCGAAACCCCAAACTGCTCACTAAAAACCTCACTAGCACTTATAGGATTCTAGTGTGGTATGATCTGTATACATTACTAGCAATATACAAGAAATTCAATTTAGAAACATGTTATCTAAGGAGCAGTATATGGCATATTTTGTTCTTGTTTTGTGTTTTTAGAAGATGCTACCTACATAGGAAACTACTAAAGAATAATGGCAGCACAATATATGTCATGTTGACTTCAGCGACTGACTAAGCTGGAGCAATGAAAAACTCAATAAATCTTCTGTTTTAAGAAGATACACTGATAATGCAAAGGAAATTATATATAACTAATAATTTCTTGTTTTAAAAAGGCACAGAGGAGGTAGGAGATAGCCATTTGCCTCATATTTCACCCACATGACTTCCAGTTTTGTTCACATACAAAAATAACATCTATTATTTTTGCTTTCTTTCCCTTGACCTAGCCAAGTGAAGGTAAATATGTATCATATACTCCTTAGAGGTCTCAAAGACACAGCTGATAAATGGCCTGAGAACGTTCACCTTATCTGATGAAATGCAATCCTCAATTAAATATAAATCACTCCAGGTATTCTTTTCCCCATTTCAAAGAAAACAACAAATATCAGAAAAACAGAACTGCTTCCCCTGTCTCATTCCAGTGCTTCCTCTCTAAAGCCAGCAATCCTGGGTGTTCCTCTAACAGCTCAACCCCATCCACAGGCTGCAGCACGCTCCACTCTGAAAATCTTTTACTCTGCCTATACCTTAAGTAGCATCACATTCTTCAGGATATTTATTAACTAGAAACTACCTGAAATTTAAAAAATCCTCCAAACTGGTAACAGTGTCAAAAATTACATGATTAACAGAGAGGTATACTGAGGTACCAAGAAATTTAGGCAGGTAGTTAGGTGCTATCACAAAGCCAGCATCTCACAGTGACATTCATCCAGGACTTCAGTTCTACTGCACAGTGAGGACGTTGCAAAAAAACAACAGATGGGCCACCACAGTCTGACCCAATAATTTTCCTTTAAAAGAAATTCTGAGTACTATACAGAATAATAAATTAATATTTACTTTAATGGCACGGAAGCATCAGCTGTTAAACTAGCCACAGAAACCATGGCTTCTTTTTAAACTCTAGGTGAACACCAGCTAGAGTATTTTTGTTAATCAACATAGGTAAGAGAAAATTCATCATTTTCTATGATTTATTAAAGAATACTCATTAACTCTGTCTTATAAACAGAAATGTGGTTTCACAAACATCAGCACAGCTTGAAACAGAAAGCCATAATTAGCTCTGTTCATTGACGTATTCAGACAACATAAATTACAGATTATGCTTAAATATCTGTCCAACAAAATAGTTGAATAACAATCCAAAACCAAAGGAATAACTGTTAATATATTCCATAGGTAGAGAGCTGCTATTAGTTACAGGAAATAAGGTATATGGTTTCAGTAATGATTGTTTTAACGGTCACAGTCCCACACGTATGAGAAATTTATTCCACCACCGTATCCAGCGCACATGTGGTTCAGTATCTTGTAACTTAAACAACTACAGAACCGATCAGGTACGCATTGTGAACATAAACGTACTTATCACCTTTGCGAATTTCAGATAAACACACCATAAAACCTAATACAGGCAAAATTTTTAATGCTCCATATTCCGATAAAATGGGATTTTCCAAAGGACTATTGAAAGGTCTTTACCTTTCCTGCTGTGTCCCTTCTCCCTCCAGCCTCATCTGATGTGGCATATACACACAGAGGCTTAGATTGAAAGAAGCTGTATTACCCTCCCACTCATGGCAATGACTCACCGAAACCTCAGAGCTATACCTTAAAACATAATCACATTTTAATGTTTGACCAAAATTCAACTCCCATTTAGATCACCCAAAAGTACCGCTCTGAGGTTTGTCATTACTAAACTGTGTAAGTGCACAAAGTGAAAATGCCACTTAGTTTATCTTTTATATAAATTAACTGGAAAAAGTAAGACATTCTCTACTCCTTTTGAGAATGTGGTAAACCAAAATTGTTCACCTTTATCTGGATGTCTGCATCAGCACTAATATTAATTTACTGGTGGCACCCATAAACCACAGTGCCCCATCCACACAACCTGAGAGCTGAAAACACCTACGGAACGCTAAAACCTAGTATTACCTGCAGGCATCAAGGATGCTAACCACTGTCTACACTGAAATACTCTAGACAGTGATTGCAATGTTTGCTTTTTGTGTCACTAAGTACTAAAACACAACATTTAATTTTACTGTGCCTATGATCTACGTATCGGTTTGCAAAGACTACCTTTGTTACACTAACAAGCAAATTCCCAGCCAGAAATAAAAACAGAGTGAATGGGAGAAAACGGCAGAAGTCCTAGTGATCTCAGGTGAGGATTCCCCCACATGGGAACTGTGCCTCAAAATCTCTTTTAGTATGAGATTTATTTATCATTCTTATTTAAAGTATTTGCTTGAAGAACTGCTGTAATTCTTCTATGGACTATTTAATATTAATGTAAATACACATATATGGAAAAATCAGCTCCTTGTAATACACTTTCAAATACACAATTTTATTCTTTTTTTCCCTCATTCTCAGAATTATGCTCCTCAAAACACTCACACATCAGGGCAGGCGCGTATCCCGTATAGGTGAGAAGGTCAGCGGCACTGGGGATGACGCACTTAGAACTGCAAACAGTATAATTTTTAAAGAATTGTTTTGATCTTAACTAAAAAGCACATGCAAGGATCGCCAGGTTCAGTTCTTACATCTGTGCTTTCAACCCCGAAATATAACAGCAGGAATTGAAAGCTGGAGTTTAAAAATGTCCCACAGCTATTAATCCAGACTCACCCTGACACAAGCGACAGTAATGGCTCCTTTTGGAGTTCACATGTTTAGAAAGTAACATGCTGTAAAATCTGCACATTAAGTAAACACTGTTGCTATAAATCCTCATGAAAAAGTTGTTACTACATATGCAGACTATGCACTTTAAAACTCAGTATTTAAATTATTATTTTAACTAGGCAAAGGCACTAATGACCTTCATCATTTCTTGATATAAACAACATTTGGGTTTTTTTCAGCTACAGAAAGCAAAAGTTAATCCTTAGAATTTTCCTTTCACCTTTTTCTATGACATAGTCTAAGACTGTTACAAATACCTTTTATCTATACTCCTATTTACAGGGAAATTTCACTGACCGATCTCCTGATTCCCAGCACATTCTGAACAGAAATTACAACAGTTTGGTTTATATGTTTCTAATTGATCTGCGAAGTGGTATACATGGGAATAAGTACTAGTCAGAACAGGGTATCAGGGATACTAAAGAGTCTGTAAACTATTTTTGGGAGTTCAGATTAACAAAGTATTGCTAATATTTAATTAGCAGAAAGTTTTCTTGGTTTCTAAGTCAAAAGAGAAAGGGATAAGACGAAGGAGGTGATGGAGAACCAGGTGATGGAGGCCAGGGAAACAACTACAGCCTTGACTACCCATCACCAGAAAACCTCTTCTACAGTTTGCTCCTCTGCTTCCTCCCTTTAATCATCCCAATAGATTTACAGAACTCAACGCAAGTATGCTGCAGAGCAGGAATCATCTTCACAAAAAGTTCTAACATTATTTTGGGTAGCTCTTCAGCCAATAACAGGTTTTGTTTGTTTTGTGGGGGGAATCAGTACAGAGCTAATACAAGATTGCAAACTGAAAATGCAAGATTAGCAATTGTATGTGAAAGAGAAGTAGTTATTCTAATTTAACACTTAATTATAAGCTCCCATTTGTCATGCAATTCAAAAGCCTGGAATAACGACAACTTACTTCAGCAGAGACTGCTAATGTTGTTTAATAATATGTTCCTCTTACCCAACTTCTTTGGACTGTGTTTACAGTGCTTGAAGGCTCAAGAGAGTTTACAAGACTCATCCTTCCCAGTACTGTACCTGTTACTATAAACTTGATAATACTGATGATCTTGAAGGCTTACATGAAGTTTAAATAAATGAACGACACTTGATTCAGAATATCTCCAAGTGAAAGGGAACTAATCGGTGTGGTAATGAGTGATATAGCACTATTTTTAAACTTGACAGGAGACATATTAGTTGCTAGTTCCCTATTATAGAAAGAATACTGGTCTGGTAATAATGGGCTGGCATTTTGAAAGTCTTCCAACTTATTGGGAATATGATGAGAAATGTGTTTCACAATTCTGGGCTTCAGACCATTTCTGTACAGAAAGTTAAGCATTCATAGCTAGTATAAAAACATATATATATATGCTTGAAACATATATACATATATGTTTCATATATATAAGCAACTTATATATGAAACATGTATGTAACAACACATATATATATGCTTGAAAAAAATTACTTGTAAATATTTTAACTATTTTTATTTGAAATATTTGGTCTACAGTTCATATTAGCTAACTTATTAAAAGACAAAACACTTTGTAGAAGCCATCATTAGTTGCTCTGTGAAATAGCAATATCACTGTCCTCCAAAAAGTTAGTTTGTTTTCTATAGCAAATCATTCTTGTATCATCAAAATTTGGGATTTAGCTCTTAGAACACTCCTCCTCCTCAAGCTGGAATTGCAAGAGTTAATTTAAACTTTAATTTAAACATTAGGCTTGGTAGCCTGAGATGTTTGGCAGCAACTTTTGAGTGGGCACAAGCCAGATTTATTTTACAGTCAGAAACTATCCATTTGAATATGTGATGAAAGGATCTGCTTCTTCAGTCACACCTTGAGTCAACAAAAAGGATGGGATGAGATCTACTGTCAAATCGAGTTCAACTGTGAAATCTGTGAGGAGTCCCACAAGGAGGAGTATTACGGAGGGACAGATATGTGAACTTCACAACACATGCCAGTAAGGTTACTTCAAAATGAAATTAAATCACGATGGAAAACGGCCTTCAAAAGTGATGCCAAACGTATCTGCCATTTTATTCACCTAAAGACCTGCAACACAAGCAATTTAAAATGATAATCATGAGGATTTTGTCAAGCTTTGAAACCCTTCACCAAGTGAAGAGAATAAATCATCTGAGTTTTGTGTATAAGTAACATTTAAATATTACATTACTAGAGCAATTTGGACATGATGTTCTTGTGATTGATAAAACAACTTCAAGGTTGCCAAGTTACCTGCACCAAGTCCTCCGTTTTAACTTATGTTAAGAACTAGAACTAATTACTAGTAATTTTTGGTCTTCTACTTGCCCAATTCTCATCTTTCCAAGTGAACTTAACCAATGCTTCATACTATGAATTGATGAAAATAAATACATCTCATTAACTTCTGTCCAGTCAGTATCATGTTACCTCTTTCAGAAACTGCTTGAAAGCTCTCAAACACTGAATGAGGACTTTAAACAGCACTAAACATATTTTTCAATTTAAGAATATTTACATCCTCTTTCCAACTTAATATACAGAAGGTATGTTTTCCACATCAATTTATAAATCTAGCCTAACTACACTGCCAATTTGATGTAATGATGCAGCATCATGTTTCCTATAAATAATTTCCCAATAAAGTTTTGACTAAGCCCTCTGAAAAGGCTCTCGCAATATTAAAGTCTTCAGAATATGGCCAAAGTGCTTTCTGACACCTCACTGCAAGTGTTCCCCAACATCTCTGCTGACATAAGAATAGCAAAACTTATGTCTTCAGCCATTTGCTTCTATTCTGTTCTCTGCTGAGGCTGCAAAATACTTTCAAGAGTTTGCTTAAAGTAAGAGAAAAAAGCATATGCATACATTTTAATTTACTCTGCAAGTATAAGAAAGTTAAGGGGTCTACCTCCTCCACTAGGAAGTATCTATAGATACACACATCACAGAAAGCTGAAATATACTGATATGAGATAATGAAAGATTTCTGTTATCATCTGTCAATTGAAATGGTAAGTCAGGAAACTTTTTTCCATGAATAAAAGTGATATACAAGCATCTCAAAGCAATCTGTTTTGGAAGGTTATTTTGTAAACAAGTTGAGATTCTGAGCTGATGTTTTAAAAACAGATACTGCATAAAGAATAAATATTCATGTCTGGGGGAGACCCTAACAGACATGAGACCAGCGTGACCCTTTTTAGCACTACCACGGATAACAGCAAGGCAAGGACACACACAAAGGACATCAAGATGTAAAGTTTTTGTCTCAAAGACTATCAGACAGTTGGTATGAGAAAAGCACCATTAAAATCACCACAATCAGAAAGCCTGTGCCTTATGAACTTTGCTTTTGTTGCACACAACAGAATCTGCCTATGGCATACAATCTGCATTGTAACCTCTAACAAAGAAAGCTGAAAACAGGGAGTTTTTTTATTTTACTTCATTATAAATCATAACAATTTTAGTAAAACTCACTAGGATTTCAGCTTTAGTGTGACTTGGGAATCACTTCTCTGCCTATCTACAAAAAAAAAAAAAAAAATCTGAAAAGCATTTACCATGCCTAACTCAACTGGCCACACTCATAAGACTTTCCTCCTAAAATCTGAAAACCCTTACCTTGAACACCCTGTTCAAGAAAACTAAATGACACTGTCATTCATCAGATACTTGAACTTGAACCACCAGAAAACCTGCAGAACCTAGCTCATTCCTCCTACAAATTGGTGCAACATAAGAACATTAAGTTTACAATGGCCACAATAGTTTCTTCATTGCAGAGCTCAAGCTGAAGAAACTATTTTAAAGTCATTACTGGAAGATCCTAACTATTTAAAGTTTAGCTGGCTATTAGGAGGATCTCTTACTGACACTGCTGATACAATGAAATGCCAGAAATACCATTACAAGCCAACATGAGAAACCATTTACACCTCATGCACGCAAGGTCTGTGCTTGATATTCCCACTTCATTTCAAAGTCACAAAGATCACAAGTTTCACCAGCAAGTTAAAGACTGTTCTGACTTGTACTAAAGACTTCAGGGTTGTGCAGTTATTCTGGCCATTGGGAAATTTTTGGCAGTATCATCAGTTAAGTGTTTACAGCAGGCACAAACAGCTCTTGGAGGCTTTAAAAACAACAGCACATGGGCAACTTGGAAATACCTCTAAAATAAAGGCAGTGCTTATCTCAAGAGAGTCCTCCACATTCAACCAGACTCAAAGCAATGCTAGAGCTAAAATCTTTGATGCTACTTTTCACTATGATTTTTTCATATACAAAGAATAGTCAATTGTGGAGCTTAAGACACTGAGAAAACACACCAGGTACTCATGGGGTCTCAAAACAGTCTTAACAAATGCTCGACAGAAATAATGCTGACTTGCCAGTGCTCCCACAAAATCTGAAGCTTTTGCTGTTGCTGTAGATGAAAGCTGTGAACCTTTTTGCTATGAAAATATAAGGACTAGGTATTAGGAAGAAATCCTTTACTGTGACGGTGGTGATGCACTGGCATAGGTTGCCCAGAGAAGTTGTGGCTGCCCCATCCCTGGAAACATTTGAGCAACCTGGTCTAGTGGAAGGTGTCCTTGCCTGCTGCAGGGGGTTGGAACTAGAGTCATTAAGATCCCTTCCAATACAAACCATTTTAAGTTTTATCATTCTATGAAGACTTCCAACCCAAAACTGAGGACTAGGGAAACTTCTTGCCTGTTAACCAAGCTATGCAACATAAACTGTTATGGTGAAGTAGAATCCTTTACACAAATTAAAACTTTAAAATGGAAACACCAAAAATGCTATTTTTAATTGCTTCCACCTTTGCTAGAATTCAGATTAATACAGGTAGTTTTAAAGAAGCTGACAAAAGAAAAAGGAAAATTGTGAATCATTTTCACCTTCATAAACTTCTAACCTTAAGAACTGCAGCTTCCTTGTTAATGTAACAAATACTCTGCTGAGCAATGAAGTCTTAGAAGTCTTAAAAAAGATCAAGCAAAGAAAATTTAGGCTCTAGAAGTTTGCTTTATTTGCATTAATTTTATTGATGGCATATTGGAAAGTACTCTATGATCAAGGGAATTAACTCCATCCTTATTCATCAGTCACAGCAGAAAATAAAAATGCTGTATTTTTGGTGTGCTGGAGTGACGACTCTACAACACTGTACTTGGCTGAGTTTAAAAAAACAGACAAACAAGGGTTTTGGTTATGAAGATAATGCTCAAACTGTCTTCATTTATCTACTTGTGTTCCAAAAATCACTTTCATAAAATAGATGACTTTTCAATAGCAGCCTTCCAGTATCTGAAGGGGGGCTACAGGGATGTGGGGATGGACTATTCATTAGGGAGTGTAGCGACAGGACAAGGGGTAATGGGTTAAAACTTAAACAGGAAGTTTAGATTGGATATAAGGAAGAAATTCTTTACTGTTAGGGTGGTGAGGCACTGGAATGGGTTGGCCAGGGAAGTTGTGAATGCTCCATCCTTGGCAGTGTTCAAGGCCAGGCTGGACGAAGCCTTGGGGGGAATTGCTTACTGTGAGGTGTCCCTGCCCATGGCAGGGGGATTTGAACTAGATGATCTTAAGGTCCTTTCCAACCCTAACTATTCTATGATTCTATTAGATCAGAATCTAAGAGAAGTGTTTACAACAGTCTAACCTTATGGCAGATTGATTCAGATCTTCCTGAATCTTTTCAGATCCGATATTCCCATTACTGTTTAAGCAAAGTCTGGTTCCACAAAGCTGTAGATAACTGATGGTGCTATATGAAACTGGTTCAGCCCCATATTTAAAGCAGAAATACCTCTGAAGACACTTCACTCTCTGAATTTGAATACTAGAGATATACTTAAAATATAATTAAGAAAGAGGGGAAGGAGGGGGGAGAACAGTAAGTTGCCTCCAGCAAATAAGTACAGTGGAAAACAAAGCAGACAGCGTACTCAAATTAAACAGGACCAAATGCTTTGAAAAAGGACTAATTTCCACCTATCTGCATCGATCACACATTAGTTTGCTTGTGCTGAAGAGAATCTAATCCAAACTCTGTTCATTTCAAAGTGGTTAAGAATCCATTTGTGAGGTGCATTCAAAATGCGCCAAGATGAACAAAATCTGTTTTGCATGCCAATATCCTTGGAGAGGGCAATATTCACGCAAGTTACAAGTTACTCTTCAGAGCTGCAGCACTCTTCCTTCCCATTGAAGCTCTGAATGAGTATGGACAAGAGAGATCCATAAATGATTTTTCCTAGAGTCTATAGACAGTTGGTTTCTTAACACTCATGGAAGCATTTTCTTGGGCATTAAATTAACAAAATGACTTACAAAAAAAGTCTGCTTTTTTCTTTAAAGCAGTTTTTCTTTTCAAGCTGTGTAACTCCACTTGATATTTAGTGTACATTCAACTCACATGAGCTACTTAACCAAGCACCAGGCTTCAGCATACTGAAGGTGCATAATGGTTGCCTAACAAACACAGACCATTTCACATGTTTGTGCTTATTTACAAATACCACTTACATACTGCTGACATTTATAATGACACCTGTGATGTTGCTGACACTATGTTTGCAAAGTTTGCATCTCCAGACACAGCCAATTCTAAGAAACTTGGTGGTGAATATACACAGCATTTCCTTTGACAGTAACTTGAAAACTTATTTTGACTATTTCCTATTTGAATAGTAAGAAAGCTTCAGAAACAAGGCTTAGCGAGGCTAATTCCCCCACTGATTTTATTGCTCAACACTAGTTCACTCAATTGCTTTTTTCAACAATTTTCTCATGTATTTTCTCCTGACCATATTACTGTGTTCCTTAAATTATACTATAACCACACATTCATATATACACAGAATTTCATGTACTTGTTACTATTATTGTCGCCTACTGACTTGTTATTCCAAAGTCCACAACCTCTAAATACAGCACTTCAGCCCTTACAGAATCCTTGACACAATGCTTGATGACAGAGAAATACTTGGTTTGG